ACACGCCGTGAATATTTGTGACCTACACAATACACACTAGCCACGGTGCACAGATTATCCCCTAAAATAACACACAGAGACCCACACAGAGTTGCTCCTAGAGAGTCCACACACACACACACGAGCCCATGTGATTCCAACTTCGTACAAAGTTAGATCATTTCGAAGAAAAACGGCCCCCATCACGCCCGAAAGGCGCTTCCCCGCAAGCCCAGACCTGGGGGGGGGGGGACACATGTGCCGTTCGGTGCAGAGGAAAGTTTCACGTGTATTGGGGGGGGGGCGGAAAGCAATTAGTTATAGACCGATTATTTCCCCTCTAAATGCCCATGAAGGCAGGAGTGCCCCGAGGCGAGCCGGCTGCGAACTGCCAGTCGCTCTTTTTAATTACACCCCAAATGCCCCCCCATTCCCCCCTCTCTCCCCAAACGCCCCCCCAACCCCTGCAGTCTCCCTGCGCCCATCCACCTCCCGCCGCATGACCCAAAACAAGCACCCGACCACACTCGCAACCCTGCGAACAACACAGCCCCAGTGAAAGTGAGGGGGGGGGGGAATCACTAGACAGAAAAAAACAACCACCACCCTACTAAAAACAACCGGCAAGAGCCGAGCGTCATCCCCGCTGCAGACAGCCCGGATCTTCACACACACCAGAAATCCCGCCCTTTTCTTTAACTGTACAACTATTTTGCACTAATGGTGGCAGAGAAATTACTCCACCGAAAAAGCCCCGAGCTCACCAGAGGAAGCAAATCTCTCTCTGCCCGCATCCCAGTTACTAACACAAGCCAGCCAGCAGAGAAGCGGGGCTCGAAGGGAAGCAGCCCGAGGGGATTGGGGGCGGCAGGGAAGGAGAAATGGGGGGGCTGTTACCTGAGTTAAGCACAGAGGAGACGAATACATCCCGAGTTGATCTGGGAAACTGACTAATTGCAGAAGAGAGACCCAAGGCGCAAAAGTTACTGAGTCATTTCGAAGGCTGTAGCAGTTTTCCCCCGTCTCCTTCTCCGGAATCGCTCTCTTCTCTGGAGATGGATCGCAGGCAGGGCAGGGGGGGTGTTGGGCGGGACCCCAAAATCAAGAGAGAGCGAAAGATCCAACTTTAAGAGGGAAAAAAATCAACCCGAAAGCTAAGACAAAAAAGACTCATCCTGGGGGAGGGGGGGATAGATCTCCGACCCCCCTATAAGATCCCCCCCAAATACAAAGTGGAGGGGGACAGAGGGGGAGCGATCGGGGAAGTTATAGGGAAATTCGCTCCATTGGAGACACGGGCACGAGAGAGAGAGAGGAAAGAAAGAATGAGAAAATGAAAAAAAAAGGAGCGAGGAATGAAGTGACGTTATGAAAAAGCCCATCCCAAAATATTACATCCCATTTAAAGATGCAGGATCCCCCTTTTGGCTGATAGCTGCGCCGCTGCAGGGCAAAGCGGCGCTGGGAGTAGGTTTTGCAGGGAGTTGCGGGGGGGGGCAGAGTGGGGAGATGTGGGGGAATGCCTAGGTTCCGGGGCGGGGGGGGGCACAAGGTGGCTGGGAGATGCCAGGGCTTGCGGAGCGGCTGGACAGAGCCGATCGGATCAAAACTGCAGATTCATATTCGTCTGCTGGGGAAGCGCCAAAGGAGACGCTGAGGATTCAAGCCCCAGTGGATGGAGGTTCTGGGGAACAAACTGTGCCAGGGATGGTGTGTGTGTGTGTGTGTCACACACACACTGTCAACTTGATGTCCAGTCGCTAGACAGACACATGCGTCTTCCCCCGACGGGAACTGCCCCAGGCCAACCACCCCCCCCCCCAGGAAGCCCCCCCAGGGTTGCTGCTCTGGATTGGGGGGGGGGATTGGTGCCCCTGGGAAAAGAGCTGGCGGAAGGGCATCGCCCGATATTATGTCGGAGGGAATCGTCTGTTAACATCTGGACTCAGGGCACGTAGACAAAACAACAACAACCACCCAGCAGCGCCTAACAGCCCCTCCAGGTCACTCTCCTTCCTACCAGCCGCCGCCGGCTTAGAGGGAAACAGACCAGGCCAGAAGCGACCCCGGACACAGCCCGAGCCCACCAGCACAGGCGCCGATTGCAGAGCAAAATCCGGATCTACAGACTCGGTCCCCAGCGCAACAGGCCGAAGCGGCCCTTGGAAATGTTAGTAACAAATCAATAGCCAACCGTGACTCTAATCGCGCTGTTACCAGCCCCCCTGCCCCCCTCGGGGACCCGACTTTCTGCATGGCCCCCCTCGGCTCACACCCTGCGAGCCGGCCATTCACACCTCAAACCCCGCTCACTCCACACGCTTGGGTTTATTTACTTCGTTTTCTCTTTTTGCTGCAGTCAGGCGAGTTAACTTCTCCCGGGGTCGCTCCGTTTTCGAAGTGGGCGAGGGGGGATGCTAACATGAAGCGACAGGTGAACATTAGATGACACATCTGTCAGGTTCGTAGATTCCTTAAGTCCAGCCGCGGCTAAGAGTTTGCAAAGCGGGGGCGGAGGGGGGGGGAGGGAC